CTACCACTGTTAAAAGATAGATGGAAGGATGTTTGTATCTCCTATTGGTATTTATGTAACGACTCAACGGGTCTTAATTTAATTTTTCACCGATGTAGAAAAAAGTCTGGAAAAACACTTAGGGAAGTTATTTAGTTTTTTTTAAAGTTCGCACAGACGGAGTCGGGGGCGACAGCTAGTATTTATATAGATGTATCAACACTAAACCATTTGCCAAAGTAATTAAAAGGGATGTTTCTTAATTCATACGTGAAAACGTCGTATCTTCTCCTTAATACGAGGCTTTTAGAGCGCAGATTTAAGCGTTCCGATGCCTCGCACATTGCTGACTGAGCAAAAAAGTTTCACGACGTAGGTTTTAAAAATTTAATGGTGCGTCCCTCGGATTGTTTCAGCTCGTGTCGTTATATCGTGCGACGTATTTTGTTGTAAGTAAAGTACAGTTAAACGTCGAAGCTTTTAACGCGCGCATCTTAGTACAGAAATATTTTAGTAGGGGCTTCTACTGGCGACATACTCGAATACATTTCACACATACATAAGGGTTGATCCTATTCATTCTCTAATATAAAGTACAGTATTAACCGTTGGTAAAACATATCGCTATCTCTCTCATTCATCTCTAACAAAACAGAGAAAACAATATCTTTTTAACGGGGATTTTAGTCTCGGAAACCACGTCGAATTGGTTGTGTGGTAAAAGAATTATTTCAAGGTGTTTTTCCATTTTGAGTAAAAAAATATTAAACTTGCAATTTTTGCAAATTAAAAGACACGCCTAACATTACAAGATAACTCAAGTCTAATAAAATAAAACAAGAATTTTTCACTTTTAGATTTATAACACATAAAATTTCTGATAACATACGGGATCCATTTTATGTGCCATCAAAAAGGACATATCGTAAAAAATACTTGGTAACTCAAATCTTATTTATAATATTATAAATGCGAAAGTGTACATGGATGGATGGATGTTTCTTAGAAGGTATCTCCAAAACTGCATGGATCTTGCTGAAATTCAGCGCATATGTATAACATAGCCTGGAAGGACACATAGGCTACTCAATAAGTTTTCTTTTTAATTCCGCGCGGACGGTGTGACCTTAGGCTGACAGCGAGTAGTAAAAAAAATATCTACTTCAGTCGTTCAGATTGAATATAAAATATTCGAAGATGCGGCACTTAATCCGCATAATAAATGACTATTTCTGTAGTTATAAAATTACTAAGTTAGGTAGCATACAGGATGTTCCACAGTAGATTGACTTGTGTGCTGTACATACTCTACAAGTTGCGTACTTAATCATACAAAACACACAATTTATACAGGATGTTTTTAATTCTTGACATTACACAAAACAATTCTTTACATCTCTATTACTGTCTTTCACAAATCAATATACCCTTATAATACACACAATACTCCAGCATTTATTATGCTAAATTTTAAAATGATTTTCGCTTTCAGAATAATGTTTGAATAGAGATAACTTGCTGTCACTAACGCATAAACACTGTCTATCTGAGCGTATGATGTGAAGTTTACAAGGCGTAAACTCCCGATAACAGCCGCCCCAAAGCAGTATGTTTCACACCCCATTGATAGGGGCGCGCTATAAATGTACTCTTGCCTTTTTAAAATGTTCTAACCACTTTTTATATACTCCTATTTTTATCCAAGAGGGTAAAGTTTGCTAGTATATGTATATTTCTATACATGTGTTTGTATGTACATGTATGTGTATGATATTAGGACATCCTGTAGCCTAAGCAATTGAACTAATTCTAATAAGCGAGGTGCCATACGATTTTGATGGAATGATTGAGTTTTTTATAAGCTTTTATTTAGTTTCAGCCGTCCTATTGATTGCAAATTAAATTTGATCCACTTCAAAAACACCAAGTGTTAAACACGTGACAATTAAATATGATGTCATGGTGCTCATCTGACGATGGAGGTAGAGGGAGGCCTTAGGAACTTCGTAATAAGACAACACAACCTCATTGAATCGCCTTGACGAGTAGAGTTGTTTTTGGTGGTTAATTTTAAGTTATTTTAATTAATAAGAAACTAATAAAAGATTGTTTTTAAATTGTTTTTTCGTTTCTTGTTAAATTTACAACTAGTTTGAACAAGCTCTGATGGCTAAATAAATAAATGCAAAGTCGGAAACAAAGAATTATCTCTTATTCCTGTTAATATTACGTAATCTCGCTACTATATTTTAAAACTCGCGGATGAGAAAGTTTTAAAATTGAAGAGGCAAAATTCGCATCCCGTGGGATTATTGCAGAGCTTTTAAACCGCTCGTGAATGCTATGAACATTTTGATAATCCTCCGAGCTGATTGGTGGTAACGCTTTGTACTTTTAACAGACAAAATAATCCTTTGTGTAAATAAACGATTGTTAAATTGTTCTTTTTACTAAAAAAAACACGATGAGTTTTCGATGCAATTGATATTCAGATGTTAACAAAAAATCAAAAATCGATAAAATTTGAAAATTGTTATATAAATATGTACAAGACTATTTTACCTTTAAAATGTTGCATGAACTGTCTCTACTTCCTGTTTTTTAATATGTTTGAGAGGAAGGATAGTATAGTAATTTAAATATTAGTTGTACATGACTCCGTCGACGCGGAAAAACAGAGTAGCCAACGTGTTCTTCCAGAGTATGTTCTACATATATGCTATTCAACCATTCTGGAATGATTCTATGATGATTTCTGGATATATTCTAACACCACCTGCATCCAGGATGCTCCCGCAACCTTGACCAGGTCATCGGTCCATCTTGCGGGAGGCCTGCCCACGCTGCGTGGCCCTTTCCATGGCCGCCACTCTAGGACTTTGCGGCCCCATCGACCGTCCGTTCTGCGGGCAATATGGCCGGCCCATCGCCACAACATTCGCATTTATAATATTAGTAAGATAATCTAATTATATCATAGTATAACAGTATTCAAATAGATCATTAGATTTGTGAATACATTAGTCGATACTCGCAACTTCGACTTACGTAACTAGCCAGGCTTTAGGCTGTATATAGGTTTGCATCGCAGGCATTGATTGGATTATATTGCAGCGGCGGATTCGAGTAATTGGAGAACGTTTCAGATTACGTACCTATATTATTAGTATTGATTTCTACAATGCAGATACATGACTTGCAACAAAATAATAGTAAACTTTAACTCCTGTTGAAATACTACATGCAAAAATACGTTTACGGGGATTATAGAGCAGAGGTAGACTTTTGCAGGGGCATTGTGGGGACAAAAAAACAGAATCGGTTAGGATATAAATATCATCTTTTGTATGTATTAAATTAAAGTAATTAATTGAAAAAATAATCTTCACTTAGTATAGGTGTTATTTCATCCAAAGAAATGCACTTAAATGATTATGGGCAAAGTACAAAAAAATAATCAAAGTCTATGAAAATCCGCTTTAAAATAGTAAAAACTGTTTATCTCGCTGAAATAGAATTTTCTTTTCTGAATGTCCCCACCGGAGGCTTGGCCCACTTCCCAGCGTCTATCTCAAAGCAAAATGAATAAACTAGTTACGTTTCTGTTTACCTTCAAATACTGAATTTAAGTACTATTTTATCAATTTTAAAAATTGTACTAGTTTTTGTTATATTTCTACTTAAGAGGTCTACATTACGCCAAGGTTTGATGACTTCAAAGTAACGAATTAAGTAATATTACAAAATAAAGTTTTATATTTCTAAAATTAAATCGCAAAATAAGAATAAAAACTTCTTTTTTCGTGCTTGAAAAATTCTGACAAAGAATTTATACAGATTTCATATACATTTCGTAGATATAGCTTCTACACATTGGTAATTTATATAATATTTGGTATTACCTATTTTTTTTCCAGAGAGGAATGCTTTATGCATACTCCGCGCCCTGGAAGGGACGCAGTAGTTATGTGGGATTCTCCTCCATAGCGGAGGCATACCCACTAAACCTCTCTGTTCTTCCAACGCATCGGGACGGGGCCACGGGCACGCTTTCGCTCTCTTCCGCGACATACTTGGTATTACCTAAGTAGTACGTGTCTTTGACAATTAAAGAGTATAATATTACTTATAAAACTTTGTCATTTCGATCATATTCACTAGCATAGGTTTTCTAGCCGAGAAACTTATTAACGTTTATCTAATATATTTGATGTAGGGATGTAGGCGTAAAAATAATCAAAGTTATAAAACAAACTGTTATCGATACCACAGTGTCTCAAGCAAACATTTTATAAAGCTATTATCCTTGAATCCTTGTTCCCTTATGAATATCAATAGCAATTCAGCTATATTTGTTATTCACGGATCAAGTCTCTTTTATAACAACGCGAAACAAATAACGAGCAAAGTTATAATTATTACTTAAAAAGTACGCTTTGAATCCATAATACTAAAAGTATGAACTGTTTTTAAAAACTTTAGAAAATAAAGTTATTTAAGGATAATTACAAAATTTGAATTTTCATACTGTTGTAATTGCCTTAAGACACTTACTAAAACCTATCCACTAATTATTGAATCTACATGTTTGCTATTTATATTTTGCAGGCGTCTTAAATTTAAATTATTTCAATACAAACAACCCCTACAACTCAACTTCAAACGTTATACCTAATACATGTAGGAATGTTTGTCACATAAAGTTTAAAAAGAAATTAAGCAATGATAAATGTGATTTCGGACGTGCAATATTTGCAATAACAGAGAATATCTAACATCATCTGTATTTCCGCTGGCATTGTATGAATATGCATTGCCCGTCCGGTCGATGTCATTAATTATTCACAGATCATGCCAACGCTTGTTAAGAGAAAAGAAAAATGGCTCAAACAAAAAACAAAGAAAATATTTTGTTCTTTTTTCCGAAACCTAATTATAAAAGTACATGTGAATTAAATAATTATGTTGTATGTATACATCCAATAGATTTGATGTTTTTAATTGTTCTTAAAAATATCACTTACCAATGCCGCTTACGTAGAGAATCTGAAACAAAATATTAATATTACTATTTCATTAAAAACATATAATTTCGTACAAAAATGTTTGTTTTTTATAAGAGAAGGGGACAAACGAGCAGCGGAAACACCGAGGTGATCAACGACACCCATGGACACCTGGAACACCAGAGGAACTGCAGATACGTTGCCGGCCTTGGAAATGGAAAAGTCTTGAGCAATTTATAAATTATCGAAATTCACAATCGCTCGGTAACATGCAGTACAACTAAAATGCATATTGAACGTATTCGTAGCTTCTAGTCTGAATACAGAGTATTGAACTTTGTATAATTTCTAGCGTTGATTGCAAGCGTTCACAGTTCGTTAATATGTGAATGTCTTTTTGCATTGCTTGAATCCGTGATCTGCGTTGCTCGACATTTATAAATGTAACTAGATGGCTCTGACCCCAAACTTATTAAAAAAAGTTTAACCACGGTTTCTGACACCAAAATCTTTGTATGAAACATATCGTCATCCCTGCCATTATCGTTGACAAAACAGAAATTCAACATAAAACTTTTAAACTGTTATATTGAATTCAGAAACCCACTGTATATTTTAACAGAAGTCAGATTTGTATAAAATATATCGTTGTCTCTTTTGTTTCAAAGAGCCTGAAAGAGATAATGACAATATGTCAATGCAGTAAATGCAATAGAAACCCACATTTATAGATCACACTAAGCATGATTAAAGGAAAACTGTATTATATTTCTATTTAAAAAAAATCGTTAAGTAATATAACAAAGCGACGGTGGCTCAGGGGTTAAGCACTTGACTTGCAATCTGCAGGTCCTGGATTCGAATCCCGTCATGTACCAGTGTGTTTTTCCATTTACATTTTTCCGACGATCTTACAGTGAAAGAATACATGATGATGTAACCTGCACATATCTGAGAATAGATTCAAAGAATTGTGTGAATTCAACCCGCACTGAGTCAGCGTGGTTGACTATGGCATAGTCACCCCTAACTTAGGGTAGGCTACGACCGAATGATGATGTAATAAACTTCCAACTAATTCAAGTAACTTTTTATATATAAAATTGTTTATAATTAAATATTTGCCGTAACTTTCCAATGAATATGTAAAATGTTCGCTTGAAGATAATTAATTATTCTCGCTTCACGGTACTGTTCGTGAAAAATTGCAAAAGTTGCAAACTACACGGAATTGCAAATGTGTGCGTGTCTATATAAAGAAAAGAGATAAAAGTCTATTGGCTCACCTCCAAATATACAAGCAACACTCTTCCCTGCTTTATTTTCCAGTGAAATTAATCAAATACGTAATTTATTAAATACTAGCTGACGCCAGCGAATGTCTGCGCGGTGATAAAAAAAAACTAAATTAGTAGTCTATGTGTTCTTCCAGACTATGTTCCATCCAACAAACATCCATCCAAGAAGTAAGATATTTTGTAATTACTATAAACTATTATATAAGATTTATTTTTAATTAGAACTAACATTTTGCTATCAATCAATGAATTTGTTATTCAATTATTCTGTATATTAATTTTAACTTCAATAATACGAAGTTTCTATAAAATATTTCATTATTTCAAAAAAATAGCCAATGAATTTTAGGAAATCAATTATAGAAATGTACGGACAAACTTGAAAAATGGATTTTTATATACTCGTACGTTTATTTAAATAAGCCAGGACACTAACAGAGACTTGTAGATGACAACATTCAAGAACCAAAAACTTACTTAACATATAAGTGTATATAATATTCTTGATAAAAAAAATGTTATCCAACTTTGACTAACTAAACGGAAATTCTTTTACTAGCTCTGCCCTAGTTTTTCTCTTCCGTTACTTGCTAATTAACATGCAGTTCTTGCGCACAACGATATTGTATATTTTTACTACCAGCCAGCTACATGCAAATGATAAAGTTACATACTGAGACTGCCATATAAAAAAAAAGTTAATAAAAGTGGCCTTTAATTGGTGCTACAACCCTACAAATATATATCATCAATCTTACTTATTACTAGTATTATAAATGTTTTGATGGATGGATTGTTAGAATGTATCTCCAGTACGCATGCATGGATCTCACTTAAATTTGTCATAGTAGAACATGGTATAGGATAATGCTTAGGCTACTAATTAAGTCTTTTTAACGGACGGACTCGAGGACAAGCTTTGATATCTTATATAAAAAATTCTCGTGTCACAATTTTCGTTCCCATATTCCTCCGAAACGGCTTGACCGATTCTCATGATATTTTGTGAGCATATTGAGTAGGTCTGAGAATCGGCCAACATCTACATATTTTTAATCCTGCGCGGACGGAGTCGCGGGCTACAGTTAGTTTTTTTTATAAAATTTTCATATTTTACATATCATAATTCAAATATATTTTGTAATTTTATACAGATTAATTGGTTTCATTAATTGTTATTTTAAATACCGGTATAGTGTGTACCCAAATTTATGTAAAGTAACAAACAATCAAACATAGACACTAGTTACGAATTAAAATATCAGACCTACCGTGGGTTTCTGAAATAAAAATCACCTGTCAAAACATATTGTTATCTCTATTTTGTCAAATATAATGACAGGGTTAATATGTTTTTTACAGAGATTTTAGCCTCAGAAACCTACTCGTATAAACATTAGTAAAGTTTAAAACTCATCCAAAGTTTTACTAGTATACAGAAAAGATTCAATTAAAAGCAGCTTGGCGGAGATTTAAAAAAAAGGATTTGCGCTGTATTTTCTTTTCTACTTATAGCTGTAAGTGAGTTGACCCAGTTTTAGTGGAATGCTACTTTAAATGTTGTTTGAACGTTGCACAATTTTCTTAACGATCAGACAATTCTAAAAGGACTATGTTATAAAGTTAATATTTAAATGAAAGATATTGTAAATAATAACGCGTTTATACAAAACAGAAATAAACTAAAAGGAAAAGCATATAGGTTTTGATTTGAAACGTAAGACATACTCCGAGCAAGATATTTTTTTAAACATTTAAAATTAAAGAGAAATTTTCTTTCCTATCCTTTCAGTCTGTGAAAAGCAGTATGTCGTGTATATATTTAACTGGCATTTATCCGAGACTCAGTCCGCGCGAAATTAAAAAAAACCCACAGATAAGGGATAAAAATCATATGTCCCACTCCTGGTTTTAAACTACCTCTACCAATTTTCAGCCAAATAGGTTCGCCCGTTTTTGAATTATAAAATAGCGTAACTAACACGACTTATATATAAAATTCTCGTGTCACAATTTTCGTTACCATACTCCTCCGAAACGGCTTGACTGATTCTCATGAAATTTTGTTAGCATATTGAGTAGGTCTGAGAATCGGCCAATATCTATTTTTAATCCCGCGCGGATGGAGTCGCGGGCGTCAGCTAGTATATATACACTAGCTCTCGCCCCCGATTTCGTTCGCCCGGAATTAAAAGTAGATAGTAAACCGACTCTCAGACCTACTCATTGTGCTTTTAAAATTTCATAAAAATTGGTCAAGACGATTCGGAGTACAGCAAGTAACATTGTGATAAGAGAGTTTTGATACATTCCAGAATTCAGTAATGAATGAAAAAGAACTCAATTGATAACCTATAAAACGTTTATTATTAAAGCGCTTAAGCATTTAAAAAAAAGTTCCATTTCATCAAGTAATTACATAAAGCTATACTCATATAAAGTCTATATAAAACGAATATCTTCAACAATTTAAAGGGTCCTTAATACGATGCGAAATTTAAATTAGTTTGGAAGAGTAACATGTTAATGATATATTTTAAATATGCGGAAATTTTCAAGTGCACTCGTCATTACAGCCGCTGGCTTTTGAATGCGATTCACCCGTACCATTCAAACAGGTGAAAAATTTTAATTATAATATAAAAGTTAATAAATTAAATACATACGAGACATGGAAATATAATGAAGATAATATGAACAAGAGGTATGTTACAAACAGGATTTTTTTGTGCGTAAATTGTAATAAATTGCTGCATATTTTTTTTATAATTACCTTAATGTTAACTAAAGTATAATCTTATATATAAAATTCTCCTGTCACAATTTTCGTTCCCATACTCCTCCGAAACGGCTTGACCGATTTTCATGAAATTTTGTGAGTGTATTGAGTAGGTCTGAGAATCGGTGAACATCTATTTTTATTCCCGCGCGGACGGAGTCGCGGGCGACAGATAGCATTGTAGCTATTTATGTTGTTTACAGACTAAATCTACTGTCGAAACATTCAGACAACACACTAAAAGTCAAATCGTGTCGCTTGATCGCACTTTCTCGACTGACTGGAAAGTTTTTTTTTTGTAGAAAGGTGTGCGAGTTTGTATATATCATTCCGTTGTGTCGACAAAGCGCATAACGATGTGTTTACAAAGATTTTGGTCTCAGAAACCAACGGTTATTGGTCTTTAAACGTGAAAATTATTGTAAAAACAAATGTAATATTTAGTTTTAAAATTGATTAAAGATTTGTATTTAAGACTAGCTGGGACCGCGACTTCGTCTGCGTGATATACTGCCTTTGAGCTGCGCGCGGTACTGGACAGTGCTTAAATATTGCAACATTACTTTATTTTTCTAAAATAAACGTAGTCTAAGTTACTCCTTATTAAATAAGCTACTTTCTAATAAAAGTCCTGTCAAAATCGGTACAGCCATTTCAGAGATTAGTCGGAACAAACAGACAGACAAAAATTATAAAAAATGTGATTTCAATACTACAAACAGACACTCCAATTTTATTTATTTATATGTATGTATATATATATATATATATATATTTAATCAAAAAATGTTTAAAATGAAATACAGAATTAAAAGTTGCAGAATATTTTAAACGTATGCAATGAACCGAAATAATTTGAAGGGATTCATGAAACGGATTTTATGAGTGTCCTTCAAAACGACATTGCCCGTTTTATTTTTAACATTTTTTAAGCTTCATTTTGTTGTGTTTACTAACTTTGCTGGAGTGTTTTAATATACTTTTATTTTCTAAGATATTTTTGTAATTTTTTAATATTAAACAGATCTTTAATATTACGAGGAATCATTTTATTGTTCCTATAATTATGATTTTGGAAAATATTTGCAAAAAACTAGCAAATGCGAAATTTGCAGCTGGAATTAAATTTTATTTAGCGTTTTCGACTTTAGTTTTTAGTTTAAATATAAAATAATTATGTTAAAAATGTACCGTTTTACAACGCTGTTTGCGGATTGCGCAAATCTCTTAATATGCAAATATAATCTTATTTTATTTTTAAAACTGCTTCGTCGCAATGATAATAGCGGCCATTTTGTGTTCACATTTTTATTAACCGCCGGCAAAATCGTATGAGATCATATTAGTAACGTTTTTTTTTTAATTTGCAATTGTTAAAGGTTTTTTATATTATGTTAATCTATGAAATATTCAGTAATTTTATGATCACTTCTGACTCATTGTGGGTTTCTAAGACCAAAAACCCAATTGAAAACATATTGTTATCTCAATTATGTCAAAGTTATTTTCAATAGCCACGATTTTTTGAAATATTTTCATAGAGTTTTTTAAACTAGCTGTGCCCGTGACTTCTTTCGCGTGAAATACTGTCTTTGAGCTGCGCGCGGTACTGCACAGTACTTGGACATTGCAACAATACTTTATTTTTCATAAATTAAAGAATTTTTCTAAAATAAACTTCGCCTAAGTTACTCCTTATTATAACAGCTACCTGCCAATAAAAGTCCGGACAAAATCGATCCAGACATTTCAGAGATTAGCCGGTACAAACAGACAGACAAAAATTATAAAAAAATGATATTTTGGTGTATGTAATGTACATCTTTATATATATAATCCTTCTGTGAGTGTGTATGTCACTGAACTTCTCTCAAACGACTGGACCGATTTTGATGAAATTTTTTTTGTGTGTTTAAGGGGATCTGGGAATGGTTTAGATTCACAATTTTGTCCGCTGGACAATGTTTTTTTAATTAATTTTTAATTTAGTAGTAGTTGTTGATTTTGGAATGTTTTACATTGGATCCGACAGACGGCCCTACCATCGCAGTGTCAAATTTTAAATAATATTCGAATTTTCAAATTAAAGACGTGTAGACAGGACAACGTCTGTCGGGTCCGCTAGTATATTTACGAGTATATAACAGACATTCCAATTTTATTTATAAGTATAGAGTATAGACAATGGTAGGGGTTTTTCGATGCTGCGATAGCACAATTTTCATATCTCCACACTCTCGTGACCCCGATCCGAAGAATTTAATCTGAAAACTGCTCGCTAAGCAGATTTCCATCGCGTCCGACGTAAAACAAAATGATATTGCCTCTTATATAGCCTCATTGTGTAAGATTAACTCCCAACACTTGTACGATACATAAAGATAAGTATACAATGTTATTATATTATTTAACCTTTATCTTTAACATTTACTTACATAATAATTGACGCATTTGTATCGTTAATAAGTCGATAACACGACCCTTTTTTATGGTGTCGGGGGCAACCAAATATACTTCAGGGGGAAGACTGGGTTATGTGAGATTTGACGAACTAAAACTCCTTCGGTGGCCAAACTCAAGTGTATAAATCAAAGATATGTGTCCGGGATCTCCTCGGAAAGCACTCAAACCAACACTACTTGTCTTCTTTGGTGCTATGAGACAATTGTTACTTGCATCTTCATATTGATTAATTTAATCTACGCTAAGGGAAACCTCTCTGAGTTCGGCAGTTTCTAGTATGTGGTATATTTATTCTATCCTTATTTATTTCATCCCATATAAGTCGAGTTTCAATTTTTTATGCCCGTTAATAACTAAGAGAAAGCACCTTTATAAAATATTTATGGTCGAATTATACTAGTTAAATTTGATAACGTTTGTAAACTTATAAATTAATTATTCAAATACTGTGGCGATTTTTAAGCCACACAATAAGTGAATAATAAATATTGTAACTTCAATAAATCCATTTAAGTCGATTTAAGATAAACTTGAGTCTTAAGAAAGTACCGTACCTTTTTTTTCTTCCCCTCAAGCGCGTATATTTCAACCGTCTTGGGAGTAATGGGCCAAAGCAGTGGCAATTAAACGGGAATGCTTTTAAGCTTCTGACTTTACCGAGGAACTGGGCAAAGTGAAACATCTTTTCAATTTTTACAACGATAATAAATTTAAACTAAGTGCTCGTTTTATTTTTTCCTTTACATAAAGGTGTTTTCAGTTTTTTTTAACAGAAATGTTTTAATGAAATGTTAATAATATTTTATTTTAAAAAACAAAATGATACTTTTATTAATTTACATATACTCTCATCTTACTAATATTATAAACGCGAATGTTTAGATGGATGGATGGATGTTTATTTGAAGGTATCTCCGGAACGGCTTAACTGATCTTGATAATATTTGGCATCCATATAGAACATAATCTGAAAGAACACGTAGGCTACTAATTATGTTTTTTTTATAATGGAGTCACAATCAACTGCTATTTTTATATATAAAAAAAACAAAGACACCAACAAGTATTAAAAGTTCGTTACTGGAAACGACAATATCAGTTTGAACAAATAGTCCCTTGTTGAACACCATGTATAAGGCACTTTTACACATAAAATGCTGCTTGGCAACCGTAGGTATATCAATAAAGGATTTAATAAAAGAACTCACCCCTTCTGCAAACAGTGCGATCCCTCCTGTGCAATATTCTGAAAGCAAAGCAAATAATGACGTGTCAAAACTCTGCAATTATTTCTAACAACGTGTTAATGAAAGTGTGATAAACTCTTATAATAACGGCTTACGTTTATCATTTTTTTAAATTAGTATTTTGAACTGAAGTATTTTGAACTTGAAAACTTGAAAAAACAATTACAAATATAACAAGACAAGTGAATCATTTTCACTGCAAACACACATCTTTAAAAACATAGAGTAATCTATACCATTCTCTTTGAAAAATTCATTCGTTCATCAGCTCACTATACGTCCGTTGAGGTGCTCGAAGCCAACCCTAAGTTAAGGGTGACTAGGCCATCGTCAACCTCGCTGGCCCAGTGCAGGTTGGTTGACTTCACACATAAGTTTGAAATTCTTCTCAGATATGTGCAGATTGCATCACGATTTTTTCCTTCAACGGAAGAACATCGAATAAATGTACATATGTAAATAGAAAGTCGAAAAACACATTGGTACATGGCGATTTGTGAATCCACCTGCAAATTACAACTCAAGTGCTTAAACTCCTGATCCGCGAAGCTCTATTTGAAAAATGTAAAGATGTATTTTTTCATATTTTCCTGAACAATAAAATAAGATGTCCTCTAAGTAATTATATTCTTATTAGAGTTAGTTATTTAGTTGTTGTTATTAAAGAGTTATGATTCGCGTAAAGTTATTTATCAAGCTTAAACTTCCAAGTTTTGCAACAACAGCAAAAGCCAGCGCGAACTCGACTTACGCCGGTCCCAAAGTTAGCGCGATAAAAATGAAAAATTGCATAACAAATAACAACTTTGTAAACTCATGTTAATAATTATGACGTGTTTATTTAAACCCCACAAATAAGTAGGAGTAAAATTAATTCAAGCCAACAAACCAGACTGAATTAACAAAATATAGTCAAAGTATATAATTACACTAGCGGACCCGACAGCCGTTGTTCTGTCTACACGTCTTTAATTTGAAACTGACTGAAAAAATTTGACACTGCGATGGTAGCGCCGTCTGCCGGATCCAATGTAAAACATTCCAAAATCAACAACTACTAATAAATTAAAAATTAATTAAAAAACATTGTCCAGCGGACAAAATTGTGAATCTAAACCATTCCCAGATCCCCTTGAACACACACAAAAAATTTCATCAAAATCGGCCCAGTCGTTTGAGAGAAGTTCAGTGACATACACAGTCACAGAAGAATTATATATATAAAGATATTGTCTTAAATCTATGATATAAAATAAAATATTTAAAAAAAAAACGAAAAATTCACTAAAATATGTTATTAAAAGTCCCTTCAGGCAAGGTCCCGAAGATACTGGCAGCATTCCCCCTTTGGACAGCTAAACTAATTCTTTGATCGAGGTAGCTGCCAGCTCTTCAGTCCCCTGTAATGTCGATTAATTTTTTGGAAATGTCCTTAAAAAGTCTTAAAGCGCTACGACCCCACGGACCAAGGGTCTCGACGCCGAATGGGACAAAATTATATTCGGAGCCTAGACCCCTAGTATTTGTATGCTTACAGTCAAAGTATTAAATTCTGTTCACACTTGGGATCTATTATTGTGCATTAAAATGTCACGATATCTTACTAATATTACAAAACCAAAAGCTTGTATGTATGGATGGATAGATGTTTGTTACAAGGTATTATAACTCATGAACGACTCAAGGATCTCGATGAAATTAGGCACAGATGTGGAGCACAATCTGGGAGAACACACAGGTTACTTAGTTCGTTTTATTTTTTAACATCGCGAGGACAGAGTCGCGGGCAAAAACTAGTAATATAATAAATGCGAAAGTTTAGATAAATGGATGGATATTTGTCTTAAAGTAACTCTAGATGAACTAAACGAATCTCGCTTTTGGCGTAGATATAGAACATGGAAGAACACATACGCTAGATTTTTTTTTTATTTCGGACAGAGCTAGGTATGTACGAGTATGTTATTACAGAATGGACATACAGACGGGCAATTAAACAGTATAAACAATAAACATTCTATACTAATAATAATAAATTCGATTCCCGAAACAAAAATAATGTCCCCAGGGGCTGTACGGGGCTTAGCAAGGAGTACCCAACAAATTGTGTTAGTGAATAACAATAACTCTTTGAGACATTTATAGCAGTTGTTTTGTTAACGTATTTTATGTACCCTAACAACGTACCTCGAGTTTGTTGAACGATTACATGTTACCTAAATCATATTAACAATTGTATTCTCTAAGGCATTTTTTGTTAAGGAATTGTGTAGAACCAAGCGTCAGTGGCTCAGGGGAGGAGCTATTGACTTGTAATCTGCAGATCGTGAGTTCGAATCTCACAATATACCAATGTATTTTCGATTAATGAAAAAATGAGAAGAAAAACATGGTGATGCAACTGACTCATATCATTGAAGAAATCCAAACATATTTGTGAAGTCAACCCGCATCGGGTCAGCGTGGTTGACTATAGCATAGTCACCCTTTTCTAGGGTTGGCTTCGAGCTCCACAGTGGGAACGTATAGTGTGGCATATATGTGGAACATAGTCTGGAAGAATACGTAGGCTTCTTTATTAGGTTTTTTTACCGCGCGGACGGAGTCGCGACAACTAGTTGTTTATTTATAGAATGATTGACGACGGGTATGAAACTAGTCGGTGCCGTAACCAGAGTTTAGACGACAGCGTAAGCTAGTCTTTGAGTCGTGCAGAAGCCCAGTGCAGAGGGTTCCGGTGCGTTCCTTTGGAGATCCCGGGACCCTCGCAGACGCACTTGAGGATGGCCACCGAGTGGGTTTTAGTGAGTAAGAATCTCACATAACCCTGTCTTTCCCCCAAAAGGCAGGGTATCTTAAGATTATTTCAAAATACAGATTTCAAACTCTTTTCGCATGAATAATCTATTGCCTTAGTTTGAGTATTCTTGTAGATGTTCAAAGTAAGATTGAAATCAAAGAAACTTCACTTGTAAGATGCTCAAGTAACATTTAAACACTCGTCCTACTTACATCGAAAGAGTTACAGCTATAGAGTGCTGAAGTCAAGCCCCATTGTGTACAGGGTGCTCGAATATGAAACGGGAATTTACGTTGAATCATTTTGTATGGCGAAACAATGAAATGTCGATTCTTTCAGGAATTCAGAAGACTTGTTTAAGAACTTTTTAATATTCGTTTAATGAAGAACTATGATATGAATCCTAGTCTAACGAAATCTTTTAAAAACTAACTCCTTGTATATAATAACCGTAAGTTTCTGAGACTAAAATCACCGTTTAAAGCATGGCATATATAAATGTTTTGTCAAAAATGGCAGAGATTTTGGTCCCGAAAGAAAGGTAAGAGTTATAAGTAATTTAACGCGTTGACTATTGACAATATTTGTATCCCTGACATGGTTAAATTCTACTATATTAAATTCTTTATACTAGTTTTTTAGATCAAATTAAAAAAAAAACATCGACCTTTATGGTCATTGCTATCAACTTCATATCTTCAATTCGAGGATAAGTAATAATCTAATTATTCCTCATCTTATTTTAAATATATTCAGCCAAGGTTATAGAAGGTGACAAAGTAACTAACATATATCTGTTAAATATATCTTCTGTCAGTTGACAAATATACGCAAGAATACAGGAACAAAACAAGCGTTTATCAGTGGAAATGTTAAAGTGAGAAGTGGGTACGAGCGTCCCCCCGGAGCGTATTCTAAGTTGTTTGTCTACGTCTCTCCTGATTTAATCTCCTCTCGCTTGTGTAAACATTTGTATTGAAAACAAGAAAAGACAAAGAGGCGTTAACTCTAGCGTAAATATCTCGAAACATTTACGTAATTTATTTTATAAAATAACTAAGTTTCATATAGACGAATAAATATGTTTTAAAATTAATAATTTATGTGCATTGTGTAACAATAATCATCAAGATAACTAACGCCCTTAACTTAATTTACTAGCCATGAGTTCTTGAGAACAAAATCCCCGTTTAAAACATACCATTGTCTCTGTTTCGTGAAACATAATGACAGAGATACCCACATTTTTATAAAATAATTTAAGTCTAAGAAACCCACAGTAGATTGGCAGAGATTACTAACTCTCTTACTTCTTCTACATAAATACATCCTTAGTTTATAAGTTCTTGAATAATAAATAAGACACTTGAAATTCAATTTATAAATGAACTTTTAAGTTGATAAAACACTTTAATCAAAAAGGTGCATTCAGTATCTTTAACGGGCAATTTCCTCGCAGACTCAAACAATTAAATATATTTTTAATAGGAAAACTTTTACTCGCTCTAAAGCAGACTGTTTGATTTGTTTCAGTAAATTTAAGATTCACATTTTATGATCATCATTGGAATAATGTGGATAAGAGCCATCCTTTTCCATCCTAATGTGGGTTTCGAAATGTCTTGAAAAATGATGACACATTTTGCTGTCCATGTTTTTTATAATATGTATATATGTAAAACTTACAGTTATAATAAACATATTTCATTTTTTTTTATAAAATGCTAGAGAATTATAATCATATCCTATGTGTTTATCTTGAAATTTCATCTTTTAAAATTATTATGAAGGCGCAAACAAAGAAGGAAAGTATATTTTATATTGAATTCATTTTAACATAACCGAACATTATTACCATCTCAGCTTTAATCAAAGAGAATATGAGGAATGGGAATATTACCGCAATAGACATATCGAGATAGTGGAGATTTATCGCTACGTTGAATAAAATTTAAAAGACAGGTCCATGTTATCCTAACATACCTCACTTCCGCTGTTGTTTTGAAGCAGACTCAAGCGCGAGACAGTTTGAAATTGAAAAGAAAACTGGAGGAAATACGTTTCAACAAAGTCTATGAATATTTTGATGGGCGTCTGCTACATTGATTGCTGGCACAATTGCTTTCGCTATAAATTGAATTTTGCTCTTCAGTAAGTAACATAAATATAAAACATAATAAAAGGTGTTTTCACATTTCA